CCGGATCTGTCCGGAAACGGTGCCGGAGGCCGCTCTGGGCTTCTCTGGGCACCTCCCCCGGGGCCGGTTTTGTGAGGATGTCTCAAGCGAGGGCGCCGGTTTGGGATTCGTCACCGGATCCACCGGATCTGTCCGGAAACGGTGCCGGAGGCCGCTCTGGGCTCCTCTGGGCACCTCCCCCGGGGCAGGTTTTGTGAGGATGTCTCAAGCGAGGGCGCCGGTTTGGGATTCGTCACCGGATCCAGCGGATCCAGCGGATCCACCGGATCTGTCCGGAAACGGTGCCGGAGGCCGCTCTGGGCTCCTCTGGGCACCTCCCCCGGGGCCGGTTTTGTGAGGATGTCTCAAGCGAGGGCGCGGTTTGGGATTCGTCGGCGGATCCACCGGATCTGTCGGGATCTGTCCGGAAACGGTGCCGGAGGCCGCTCTGGGCTCCTCTGGGCACCTCCCCCGGGGCCGGTTTTTTACGGTTTTGTTGAGGGATGTCTCAAGCGAGGCGCGGTGTGGGATTTTTCGTCACGGATTCTACACCGGACTCCAGCGGATCGTCCGGAAACGTGGTGCCGGAAGGCCGCTCTGGCTCCTATGGGCACCTCCCCCGGGGCCGGTTTTGTGAGGATGGTTCCAGCGAGGCGCGGTTTGGGATTCGTCACCGGATCCAGCGGATCCAGCGGATCCAGCGGATCCGTCCGGAAACGGTGCCGGAGGCCGCTCTGGGCTCCTATGGGCATCCCCCCCGGGGCCCGTTTTGTGAGGATGTCTCAGGCGAGGGCGCCGGTTTGGGATTCGTCACCGGATCCAGCGGATCCAGCGGATCCAGCGGATCCGTCAGGAAACGGTGCCGGAGGCCGCTCTGGGCTCCTCTGGGCATCCCCCCCGGGGCCCGTTTTGTGAGGATGTCTCAGGCGAGGGCGCCGGTTTGGGATTCGTCACCGGATCCACCGGATCCAGCGGATCCGTCCGGAAACGGTGCCGGAGGCCGCTCTGGGCTCCTCTGGGCACCTCCCCCGGGGCCGGTTTTGTGAGGATGTCTCAAGCGAGGGCACCGGTTTGGGATTCGTCACCGGATCCACCGGATCCAGCGGATCCGTCCGGAAACGGTGCCGGAGGCCGCTCTGGACTCGTGCTCTTCGCGCCGGGGGTGAGGATGACGTGAGTTCCACAGAAACTCTCTCAAATGATCTACGGAAAAAACGTAGAGTGTTTGCAGATCTACGATCACTCCACGTATATTCTTCGCAGATTCTACGAGGCAAAGAATTCTAGGGAAATCAGGTCTGCAGTCGATCTCTTAATTACTCGATCCCTGGCGCCCGCAGCGCGCCAGGGGCTGCGCCGAATGCGACGCCAGGGGGTCCAAGCGCCGATCCAAGAAGTCCGCGCGGAGCTGCAGGTCATTGTCTCCTCGCCGCCTGCGCCAATCCGCCTGGTCGACACCCGACGCTGCGATCTCTTCAATCCGCCGCCCTAGCGGTAAGGAGAACAAGCAGCATAAACTTCTGGCACTTTTAGAGGAGGAGGAGGAGGAGGAGGAGGAAACGGCGGGGCGGGGGCGGGCGCCGGGCGCAAACAACAAAAAAATCAAAACGAAGCCAGGACGAGGATAAGAACGGGCGAGGATGAGTCGAGAATCTCTGGGATCTGGCGACAATGGATGGCGTCTCGGGCGCCGCAACCTTCTCAGAGAGCGCTCCAAAACGCTCCGAGAGCGTTCTGGAACGCTCTGGAACGGAGTTAGCCTCGTCGTAGCCCCGTCCGACTCTTCATCCTGACCCGTTCTGTGGTGCTCCCGAAGCCCCGGGGGGCCCCGAGAGAGCCCGGAAGTGACGAGAGGACTCAGGACCCGTTTCCCTCGAGACCCGCTTGCTTCATGGCGAGCTGTTCTTTTCCCACGTCGGGGGCGGCCAAGAGGGGGGCGCCCAAGAGGGGGGGGCACAAATCATGGCCAGCGGCGCTTGCGCGGCCCAGGGGCCGGGGACGCATGAGATCAGAGGGGGCGCAAACATCATGGCCCCCGCCCTGCTATCCATCCCCCCCCTCTGCTCCTCACCCCCCCCTCTTTGCCGCCCCCGACCACAGCAGGCCCCTCGGGATGTCTTGGGGACCCCTCGACTGGCTCCTCGCCCGCACCCGTTCTGGGGACGGGAGGAGGAGGAGGAGGAGGAGGAGGAGGAGGAGGAGGAGGAGAAGGAGGAGGAGGAGGAGGAAGAGAGGAGGAGGAGGAGGAGGAGGAGGAGGAGGGGGGGGGGGGTTGGACGGGGACGTCTTGGGGGGACCCCCCAGCCCCGTCGGCGCCCCCAGAGGCGGCCGGGCCTCGGCGGCCACCGCCGCCGCGCCGGCCGCGGGCCGGCGGCGGCGGGCCGCCCGGGGTGGCCAGCGGCAGACCCCCCGAGAGGCGGCGGCGGGCTGCGGGCGGCGCGCCCGCGGCGCGGAGGCGGGACGGGGGGCCCCGCGGCCTCATGGCGGCCCGGGGGGCAGGCCTCGAGGGCCTCTCGAGGGGCCCCTGGAGGAGCCAGGGCCTCGAGGGCCCCATCGAGGGCCTCGAGGGGCACACATCTCGAGGGCCTCGAGGGGGCAGACCTCGAGGGCCTCGAGGGCGGCAGAGGACCTCGAGGACCTCGAGAGGCCCTGGGCCCCTCGAGTACCTCGAGGTGCCCAGGGGCCCCCGCGGCCTCTGGCGTTAGGTCGGGCATGTCCTCCTACAGAAGGATTTTGGACGAATCTTCTAAAAAATAATCAAACAACAAACTCGCCATGGTAGCCAAAAAAAGTAGTGTATTAAAATCGTCCTCGAGGACGATGTTTTGACCATTTTTGAAACATACCCCCTGTAGAGGGACAGGCCCAACTTGACTCTGGCAGCCCGGGGGCAGGGGGCGGCACGTGCGCGGCCCGGGGGAGGGGGGCCGGGGACGTACTGAAATAAGAAGAGGCGCCGTGAAATCCGGGGAGATACCGTGGATGGAAACAATGAGTGCGAAACTGACCCGTAACGTTGGAATTTCGCCATTCAAAGTCACGATCGGCGGCACGATCGGCGGCCGCCGCCGGAAGTGTAGAACGTAAACGCGAGCCACAAATGCAAGCTTCTGAACACCATGTTGTCGTGGCCTGGAATGCATTTATTTTCTCTGAACCTCAGCATTTTCTTAGGGTGAAGGGCTCAGGGTGAAATCCACATGGGCTTTTGCACCTCGAAAACCCACCCGTCGTGTGGATCCCCTTTTGCAGGCTCGAGCCTCGAATATCTATCGAAACGGCATTTCAGATTTCACCTTTTGACCTCCACCCAAATGAAATGCTCGGTGAACGGCGGACCTCCAACGTTATGATTCGGTTTCGCGCTAATTTCTTACATCCACGATATCATGGCCCCCGCTATAACATCCACCCCCCCTCTTTGCCGCCCCCGAGCTCCGCGACCCCTGGGACTGCCCCGGGCCTCGCCTCGCGAGAACCACCAGAGGCCCCCGAGGCGCCCCGGAGAAACCAGAAGGGAACCTGCGAGATCACTCGGAGCCCCCAGAGAAGGTCCTGGGCGGTGGCACGGATGACGAGGGAGGCCTCCCAGACGAGGTCGGAGTCGGTGGGGTCGGAGGCTCGCGCCGCACTGCCGTGGCGTCGTCCATGCGGCGCGACCCTCCGAGCTCACTTGCCTGGACCCCATCTGGGAGGCCTCTCCAGCCAAGGGTCCCGGCGGCACTGGCTCTCGTCTCCGGGCCTGGGCGGAGCTCGGGATCAGTCCGGCACCCGACACCCCGCAGGAGCCTTGTGCAGGGCAGGAGCGGTCTCTCAACCGCGCACGGGGCATGCGCCGAGCGGCGCGTGGGCACGAGGTCAAGCTCAAGCGGTCGCAAGCAGAAGTGGGCGAAGCGCTGCGCTGGCTGCTCAGGGCAGGGGGGGAGGAGAAGGGGGAGCAAGCAGGAGCGGTCAGCACGTCGATGAGTCGGGTTGGGTCGGAGCGGGCACCTAATCGGGCTGCATCGGCAGAGAGTCGGAGTCGAACCGACCCCGTCGCACCAGGACGCACACCGTGCAAGCACCGGGACGCATCGGAGCGACGAGACATCAAAATCGAGCCTCGGATCGGGCCAGGCGAAATGCACATCGAATCGATCGGATCGGAGTGGGCCCCCTCGGGTCCTCCAGCTCCATGGGGCGAGAATCACCTGGCGCCGCAGCTTTGGCGCGACGTGGGCCCCCGGGGAATCTCGAACACCTCCCTGGGGACGGCTCCTCGTCCTGGACCGCTGCGGCTGACGGTCCTGGACCAGGGAACGGCCTGCAGAAGCGGAAAAACTGCAGCAAGCAGTATCGCCGCTAGTTCTCTGCGACGCCTGGATCCCCAGACATCCTCGGACATGGTTGTTTCAATCCGCGCCCCCAGGAATATCTCGACCTTTCCCTGGGGGTCAGTTTTGCGTCCCAGATTCATGCTTGATGGTCCCGGGGCCCGAATGCAACGAAATCGAAGAACAACACCGAGGTTGCAAAAACATATCGTCGGAGTCCAGGGGTATGGGGGAAGAACGTTAGGGGGACCGGCGCAGGGAGAGAAACATCGACCTGGAATCGGCGATACATCGCCGATAGATCGGCAATTGGCACCCGATGGTGAATCCGCACGCTCCTGGTCAGAGTGGACAAGGTCGAATGTTAGTCGATGCCACCCAACCTGGCCCTGGACGGCCTCCAAAGGCGCAAAACTGAAAAAAACAGAAACAAAAAAAAGTCCACGATTGTTCGGCGATGCCTGGAGCTAAGGTGCACGCCCGAAGTGTGTACGGAAAAATGGGTACGACGCCCAACAGCGAACGTCGTCCAAAACCGACAGCGGCCTCGGTCGAGTAGACGACTTTCTGCCTCAAATGGACCACGCCCGCGGCGACATCGACAGCGAGTCCAGCTCAAACTGGACAGGAACTGCGGTCAGTCTTCGTCCACAGTCTTTCCATCTCGTCCCCTGGAGGCAATTCTGCGTCCCCGAAGAAATGCTGATGGCCCCTGAGGCCCGATAACGGGCCCAAGAGGCCCAAAGGAACAAACAAAAATCGCCAATTGAAAAAACAGATCTTAAGGGGCCCTGGGACACACAAAAAAGTAGACACAAATAACAGGATGTCCCATGGTTTCCATGCTTTCTGGGTCTATGTCTTCTCACCCCATTTCACATATTTTCCTATATTTTCTGGGGGAATCGACGATTAACTGTATCTGTGTGTTTTCCCTCCTGAATATCGTCGGATCCCGAGAAGTCCCGATTCCTTCCCCAGGGACGGCATCGACCCCGAGTCCCTCTTTGGCGGTCCCTGGGCCGGGCGGGCAGCAAAAAGCCTCAGTAAGGGGAACAAGCAATGCCACAAAACGTTAAACCTCGGAGGTCCGCGCAGATATCTTGGATCGGCGAGAGGCCTAGATCAAACCCCAATCCCCGACTATGGGGTCTTCGACTGGACGAAAAATGTTGGGCACAACCCTGGGATATATACCATGGGGGGGGGCGTCCATCCTCGATAAGGGGTGCTTCCGAGTAGCCCCCTAGGAGGGTATCGCAGAGTTTCCTTCATTGTCTGAGCGGCCAAACTCGTCGAGCGGAACTCGTGGATCGGGGGAGAAAAACCGCCCGTGCTTCAATGCGGTGGAGGTCTGCGGAGGGCAGCCGCGAGATGTTGGCGGCGCGCACACAGCGGTTGGGGGAGGGGAGGCTACTTAGAAGCACCGCTGCTTCTTGGAAGGCACCAGCCCTACACCTACACACAAGGCCCGCGCCTTCTGACAAGCAGCCTCCTTCGAAGAAGCCTTCCCCCCTCCCCCCACCCCCCTCTGCGCGTGGCCGACGATGCCCTCGCCGTTCGCTCGGACGCCCACTCCCCCGTGCGTGCGATTTTCGCGAGATGGTCCCGAAAGCTCCTCGATGGCCCCATCCGAGACAACGTGCACACGTCCGAGCGGTGCCAAGATGCCTCCGGGAGGCCGCGAGGGCGCGCAGGTCAACAAGCCCCCAGGGGCCGCCAAAGGCCGCGCGGCGCGAGCCGGGCCCGCGCCGGCAGCATCGCCCCCCCGCGCGGCTGGGAGCACGCTGCCCCGTGCCCCGGCGGGGGGGGGCTCTCGAGCCCTTGGCGTCTACCTGCGGCGGCCAGGCCAGCCTCCGGGCTCTCCTCCTCCTCCTCCTCCTCTCCTCCTCCTCTCCTCTCCTCCTCCTCCGCTCCTCCTCGTTCTCCCCTCCTCCTCCGCCTCCTCCTCCTCCTCCTCCTCCTCGTCCTCCTCCTCCTCCTCCTCCTCCTCCTCCTCCTCCTCCTCCTCCTCCTCCTCCTCCTCCTCCTCCTCCCTCCTCCTCCTCCTCCTCCCTCCTCCCCCTCCTCCTCCTCCTCCTCCTCCTCCCTCCTCCTCCTCCGAGG